GCCTAACAGGTATATTTAGATAATAGAAAGTATTGAACTCTGAGTCTGAAGTGGAAAAAGTTGATCACATCACTTCTCCAAACAACATTGCTCTGAGATTTAGTCTAAAGAGATTCACTTTTCAATATGTAGAAATGTGATTTGGTGGATAGCTTGCTGCTCATTCCGAAGTATGTTACATTTCTTTTTCTGGAGGTGAACCCCTGCAAAGAGGGTGCTTGGTGAGCAATGGATGCCCTGCCCAGAGGCCAGAGGTTTTTGGAAATGCTGCAGAACATCCTGTTCCTGGGAGCCCTTCTGCCTGGTTGTTTGTGCTCTAGAGACTTGGCTCCTGGTGTTCTTGCTTAGACCTTTGGACTTTGGCAAGGCTGCTTCTCATGTTTCTGTCTTCCTCTATGTGCCATTCTGGCTCTGTAGATGGTTTGGTTTTTTGTGTTGTGACAGTGGAGGCTGCTTGGAGTGCACTGCCAGGCATTGGCTCATGGGCACTCTGCTACATTTCAGTAACAGCAACAGAACTTACATTTGACTGGGAAATAATAACTATTACTGGAAGAAAAAAGTAGCAAAACATATTTCCTAATATGTGCTAACATAATGAGGGGCCGTGTCTCCAGCTTTATAGGCAATTATTAAAGTTTTTGACTATTGCCAGGTACCAATACTAGGTACTTTAGCTGTGCAACTTGATTTGAATAGCATTGCCAGAAGAGCACCATCAAAGGCTTTTGATAACATGCTACCAAGAAAATATAACTTATGACCCCAAGAAAATTATTTAATCATCTTGGTGCATCTATAAAAATAGAACCAAGTATAAAAACAGTATAAATAACAAAACCTTTCTCACTGAGGTTTTGTGAAGGATACCAACTAGCCCTCATGAAGTACCGTGAGTTTCCTGGAAGGAAGGCCTTTTGTAAGTTCGAGGTATTGCTATGCACTAATTATTGGTCATAGCATTGCACATGATAGATAGGAAATGGAAGAGTGGGAGAATGAAGTGATTAAGCTAACATCACACAGTGAGCTGGGGGAAAACCCAGAACTGTGAACAGATCTAAATTTGTTTCACTGGAGGAACACAGTTATATCTGGACAAAGTCCCAGAGTTTAAGTGACAAGGATACCTAACATGAAACTTGAAGTCATCGGAATGTAGCCAAATAATACAAATATCCTTGTTAAATGCAAGTGTATCCACTACCAGTTATGGACACACTTTTCCTTGGAGGAGAGCTAAGGTGAGTCCTGCTGAGGACAGAAACTCTTCTGTGTTTGATTTCCAGGTACAGTGAGTAGTTGACCCTCTGAGCCCAATGCTGCAGAGAACACGTAAACCTAGTAAACTGAGTGTGGCTATGCCCCAGGGTGGCCCTCTGAGAATTCCCCCTAGGTTCCTGAGAGAGACAGGTAGACAGGCTATAGGTGGAAAGAGACAAAGTGCCTTGAGCTCTGTGGGGTAGGAGCCTATCTTCAACCCCTAGACACTTAAAAGTCTTGCCTGCACTCATGGCCTTTCAACCAGGAAAGCATCACAGAAAGACTTTATGGTAATCAAACAGGAAACAATGACTGGGGAAGAATTTTTAAGCAGTCAGTGTTAAGAGAAAGAAGGAAAGCCATGTCTGTGCTATTTACCTCAATGTTATATTTTGCAGCACCTAATGCCAACTATTAAACAAGGACACACTCTTATCTAATTTGCGCTGTTGTCTTCCCAGGATCTGGAACATTTTCTGCGGGAGTCCACCTTTATCTCTAGAAGCCTCTGGCAAACTGTTTCATTTCAGCTCAGGTCCTTTTGTAGAAAGAACTTGAGGCTGAAAGCAGCTCGCCCCTTCTGCCCTCAACCCCCGCTCTCCCCCTACCCTCCCCACCGTGGTTAACTTGTTTTTCATCTTTGTTCTGAGTTGCTCTAAGCTGATTCAATTTTTATTTCTGTTTTTAATGAGTTAGTAATTCAGATATCTTGGCTTTGAATCTTTGGAACTGTGGGTTGTTAGTAAGGATTGAATCAGCTTGTTGGCTCCTAATAGACTCTGAAATCCAGTAACATTCATGATGTATTTGTTCGCTCTGTTGACTGCCAGGTCCCAGTAGGAGCAATGGCCAACAGAGAAGAATAGAGGTAAATCCTCCTTGGTTGCCTAAGAGCTGTTGTTGTTTACCCCAGTTGTATAACCTCTTCACATTGAAACATCAATGTGAAGTTACTCCCCACTTCGAGTATCACTTACTTGACTTTACAAGAAACTTTCACATCTTCCAAACCAGTAAGCTATAAGATTTGCTCCAAGCTTACACAGTATATACTGTGACCATTTTCCATTTAGAAATTAACTTATATTACAGCTGTAAGTCTATTTGCTGAACTTACGATACTTGCTACTGAATGAATGATAATGGACATGAGATCGTCTGTAATTCATATTCAAAATCTACCATTGCTATGTTTGTCTAAGGAAGCTTCAGTGAGGATACTTGAGATGCATATGAAATTAGAAAAACAATTAACAGAAATAGTTCAGTAGAGAAATCCTGATCCTAGGACTAATAAAACTAGATTTTCTTAAGTCCAAATGCCTGTAAGATTATATGTAGAAGGATAATTTGTGTCCAGCATGTAAATAATCATGATTCTCAGAGGGAATTATTTGTACTTTAATTGCTCTTAGTAATGGAGAGTTGTGTCTTCTTATTTGTCTGCTTGTCATTAGAAAGTATGACTTACCATACATTTAATTCAAGTTTTTATCTTAAAAAATGTTATTCTAGAAGTCTTAATCTCAATCTCCTTTCATTCCTGCCTACTCCCATCCCCCCCAACTCTCTACCCCCCCCTCCACCCTGCTCGGTTTTGGTTTGTTGTTTTGGTTTTTACAAACCAGTGTATAACTCACTAAGGCTCAAGATACTATGTTTGAAACCTGAAAGCTAGCCTGAAGGTCAAATTCGAAGTAAGAATTTTCTTTTTGAATTTGAAGTCTCATTAGTGTAAGTGCCAGGATAACAACCCACAGTCTTCTTAATATAGTGGTTCCCATTTACATACTGTATCCTTAAACCACCTCTATTATCCCTTTCTGGGTGTTTTTCTTTCGAATGGTGCTTGTTTTATTTAAATGAACTTTCTTTAGATTGAACTTTCAGATAATGATTTCAAGTGGAAAACCAGTATCCTCTGTCACAATAAATGATATCCAGGAAGAGAAATAATGGTGAAAACAACAAAATATTATTGAATTCTAGCTAGAAACATGAGCCTACCGAGGCACTGAGTGTAAATCTTTCTCTTCTTGTGTTAAGTGTTAAAGATGTGTTGAATACACTAAATGGAGACTTTCTCTAGACATTATAATGATTACTGGGAAGTTGAAAACAACTTTCTCATAATGTGATTTCGTGGATTTAATACCTTCTCCCAACCAAAAATTACCTTTACCTTAGAAAACAATGCCTTGATAAAACCAACTGAAATCCCCTAAATTTAACAAATGATGGTGGTAATGTACAGTCCTCCATGTGAGACCAAACTGAACCCAAGGCTCTATTCCCCTATATTCTTCTTCCTTACTAATTCTCACTAATATGCAGTGGCTGCCACCACCACCACCATGATGCCCTCCAGGTGGTACCCTCCTGGACATTCTGGCTCAAGCAAACACAGGCCTCTTTCCTTAATTCCTCTGAGGACACCTGGGAGGAACGTGGAAGTTTAAATATGACTTCATAGACAAATAGGAAAATAAAAAGGAAATAGAAAAGCATAACTCATCTGCTTTTTCATTGTTGGTTAGGGTTTTTTTCTGAGGCAGTTAGCACATATTGAAACCGGCTGGAGATTGTTAAAACAGAGTGCTGGGCCACCCCCACATTTTCCAATTCAGCAGGGCTGGATTGGGGCCTGAGAATTTACATTTTCAACAAGTGCCCAGGTGAGGCTGGGGTTGATGATCTGGAAGCCACACTTGGAGAACCACTGTCCTTAGGAGACCCATTGATGCCTGGCTTCTGCCTACCTGCCTTTAAGCCAGGTCCATATTTCAGGTCTATTTGGAGACTTGTCAAGGGACAGACCCTAATTATAAAATGGAAAGGCAGCTAGTCCCATACATAAGATTGAATTGAATTCTCTCATTTCCTTGCAAGCTAGCATAGATCGGCTCTTCCCTCATAGCTAGCCGTATGACTCCTTCTCACTGAGATCACGCAGCCATATCTCCTCAATTCTAAGTGGTATATTTCACACATTTTCACATCTCTGAAAATGGGATGTGTTTCACAATCATGCCGCAAATGCCCTGAGCCTATGGGAATCCTGTTGTATTTGTTCATAGTATCATTGTTTCACTGAGTTATGTGCATTTTTGGTACTTCATAAGTTGATTTCATTGCCATTTAAAATGTCTTTAAAATTACGATACTGTAATTGAGCATTGAGACAAAAAGTTATTGTGTATGAAGAAAGGCGTGGGAATAGGGCAATGAAGCTTACATTTGGTATTGAAGGAAATATTTTGTTTCTAGAAGAATGATCACAATTTCATATTTTTTAGAAGAGCTATAACAGTTTTATTTTAAAATAGCAACATGTACAATACACCCATACATAGTTTGCAGTTATTAAAATGATGATGAAAATCTTTAACCTCACTTAAAAAAACACATTTACAGATTTAAAAAAATTCTTTTAGGGGGTCACAAGATAAAAATTTGAAGACCTCAGCTGTAGATTGCGATTTCCCAAATGAATCTCAGAATACTGGCACCTGGCCAAAATAAATTCTTTAACCAAAGATAGGAAAATGAGAAAGTAGGACAACTTATTTATTTTTTTATAAAATGATGTTAAATGTTTTCAGTTTAAAGTTCTGTTCTATATTCTGAAATTAAGGTACTTTCTACTTTTTTAGGGGGTTGGGAGGAGTTTGGTTTGAAAATAATGATGTTAATATTAACACGCTTTTCTTTTTTCATTTCTACATTGCCTTTGAAAGCAACAACTATGTGCTTTACAGGGCCTGCATAAGGAGGCTACCTATAAGGAGAAGAAGCTGAGTTTCATTTTGCTACTGAGAAACACACAAAGGATGGATGGCCTTTAACTTCCTAAGCGTTGCACCTGAGAGCAGAAGAAATTGCCAGATCCCTGCTGATTTATGAAATGCATTTCAAAGCCACAGAACTACCATTTTAGGCATTGCAGCATAATTTAATTGGCATTATTTTTCTTACTGGTCCAGAAAATAATGGTGTGATTTACAAATGTTGATGTCTTCAGTTTGATCAAACACTGTGTTTAAAATTGTATACCTCTTACTGCTGATCTACTTTATCCTGCTCTACTGAACTATATAATTCACTAATTTACTCTAAATTTACCATCAGTCTCCTTCAGCTGAAGATGAGCTCCCTGAAGGCAAGCATCTTTGTTTATTCATCGTAGGGTCTAGAAAAACCAATGTTCAATACATAATTGTTAAATGAATTAATGACTGAAGGAATTGGATTGTAACCCCTACTTGAATGTAATTTTACACTTACCCTTGTGACCTTGGTAGAACTAATATCCCTGCCTTTGTCAGGCTGGCAGCTTTATGGCAAATCTACATTTTGAGTGTGTAGGAAGACTGGCCAAGGGACAATATCAAAGGCTAGTACCACAAGCCCTAAAGCAATAATGAAGAATGACATAGATAGTTTCTAGTGATGACTCTGTATGTATAGGAGGGAAGTGGGCATTGGGATGAGGAAGGAATCAATGATTATTCTCTTACAGCCATGGATATGGTCAAATGTGTGGAATGAATAGATGAGTAAATGCAACATTTGACAATTTCTCCAAATATGATTTTTTTATCATGTACTAATGGTTATATTTTTAAGTGGTAATCTCATTACCTCTCCAAGACCAAGCAAGACATCAATCAAATGGTGTGAGAAGCAAATTCATGCATTAACTTAACCATGAAAGCAAGCAGTGGCTCATGTGCCATGAAAAGAATTCAGATTCGAAGGAATGAGAATCAGGCAGCAGGCTGAGTGAATATTCTCACAATCAGAGCTTGACCTAGTGAGAAATTAAGCATACTCTACTTTTCCTTTAGTCTTCATTTATTTTGCTTAAGTTTGTGGGGGATATGTTGGCTTAATTTGCGTCTGATGATTGTATTTCTTCTTGGGAGAAATGGAAGAAGTGACTAATACCTACCAGGTGGACGGCAGGTAGGCAGAGGTGAATGGAAGCAGAGCCAACACATTTTCTGTGCCAAGTACAATTCCCCAGGCTGAATTATATTTCAAATTTGTTTGCATTGGTTCTTTCATTATCTCTTACACAAATAGAGCTGAAAAACCAGATGGTTAAGTACAGAATACCGTGATATGATGACTTGTAGACACAAGGGGTCAGCATTTGAACGCAGATGATTTGGTCGAAGTCTTGCCTTGTTCCCTTCTGCTGCTCTACCTCTGCCTTGATGTGCTTCTGTGTGTGAGGGTAGATAGGGAAATGAAATTCAATTTGTATTTTGCAAATCGCTTTCTTTTCCAGTTTAGGATTCTGAGATCTCCCTTTTAGATTTAATCAGTCTGTTATTGTCATAGGAGATGACATCTAACAATGAATCTTACCAGTCTCACTGGCCCCAATGGTTTCAGCAAACTTCAGTGACCTCCAGATACATGCTAATTTTCTTCTTCGCAAAAGAGCTTCTTAACCTGAAGGGTCCCTAATATATGCTTGCTTAATACATGTATTGGATGATACACTATTTTACTGATGTAAATCTGCCCAAAACAAGAGATACCTGGTTAGAGAGATTGTATCTTGATTCTGAGCTTATTCTGAGCTTTTGACTTCACATTGGGCTCCATTATAATTGCTGTCTTTGATCTGTCCTTTCATTTTCTACATCTAACTCAGGGCAAATGCATGCTACAGTATCTCTTAAGAAACACTATATTATTCCCAAAATTAAAAATTATTACATACAGTAAAATTCACTTTTTTGGGTGCACAGTTCCTTAGCTGGGTGTCTCTGGCTCAAGATCTCATGAAGCTGTAATTGAGATGTCAGACAGAGCTGCTCTCCCATCTGAAGGTATAACTGAGGGAGAATCCACATTTGCTCCTGTGGCTACGTGTGGGATTCAGTTCCTCATGGACTGTTGGACTGGGGACTTCAGTTCCCTGCTGGCTATTGCTGGAGGCTTCCCTCGGTTCCTTGTCATGTCTCCACAGGGCAGAGTAACCCAGGTGACACAGCTTGTTTCCACGCAGGTGAGAAAGCGAGAGACTGAGAGCAAAATTAAACTCAGGGTGTTTTTTCTAACCCATGTAGAAGTGACATCCCGTCATGTTTGCTGTATTCTATTTATTGGATGCAAAAGTAGAGAGGATTACGCAACGCTGTGAACATCAGAAAGCAGGGATCATTGGGGACCATTTTAGAGGCTGCCACCATAAAGGCTGTCACAATGATCCAATTGAGAAATGATGGAGTTTGAATTCGTGTGGTGTCAGTAGGCTAGCATCCTCTGATTGCAAAATATGTGTGACATTTAGAAGAATATAATTGCTAAAACGTGATGGTTGATTGGCTATGGTAGATAAAGGAACAAAAATTTTTGAAGAAGACTCCAGATTTCAAGCTTGAGCTCCTGAGTAGATGGCAGTATTCTTCACTTATAATGATATCCTGCAGGAAGGAAGAGATCGTGACTGCTGTTTTGGGCATATTAGCTTGCAAGTACCTGTGAGGTATCTAATTTGAATGTCAGGCAGGTGGTTAGATATTCAGATTTGGAACTCATAAGAAAGTTGTGGGTCAGATAATAGATTTAGGTTTTGTCACCATAGAGATTGTAATTGAAGCCTGTCTTAGGTCCAGTTTCTAGGAGCACAAATTTCCCAAATAACAAGTGAGTCAGTAGGAATGAAGTGAATGGACTCTTTCTAGTTCTGCCCCTTGACTCTTGTATTCATATATTCTACCACTGGATTCTACCATTGGATACACAGTACCACATAATGACCATTGGTATAAGGTATATACTACATCCTAAAGCAACACCAAAACCTCATAATGTATTGTCTCTAAGCTGGCACGTTAGTTGTGACTTTAAGAAACTCTTCCAATCTCTATCAGAATAGCAATGTCTGGGCTATACAGTGTGTGGGAATTGGTGGATTCCATACTCACACACCTGTTCTGTGACCCCCCCTCTGTCATAAGTTGGCTTCTTGGTCTGATGCAATATTGTTCAGGATTCCATGTCAGTAAATCAAGTACTCTGTGAGTCTTTGAATAGTAGGTGTGAATTGAGGCACTGTGGGCAGAAAGGCAAACCTATACCCAGAAAATATGCTATTGCTGGATAAGACAAATAACTTCCCTTTTCAGGGTAGAAAAGGAATTATTTGCAACTAAATGGTGTCTTCTTGAGAGATGGTAGCATACTGGGCATCTTTCAGACAGGTTTGAGCAGTGGCAGTAACTAGATCAGCATTGGTGGGAGGGAGACCCTTCCACTGGGCTCATGCAGAGCCTCCATTTGAATATCCATGACTATTCTTTGAGGAGGCCCAATGTGCCAGCCCTGGTGTGGCCAGGGCTACCTGACATTTACCAGTTAAGTCATCCTGTCCAACCAGTTTTATAGAGCCTCTTCTAGAGTCAATACTCCCTAATGGGCGTTAATGCATGATACACAGTTTGCCCATTCCTGTAGATCCATGAACCTGTTTCTACTCCCGATCTCTTTGTTGCCAATCTTCCAATCCAAATGGTCCAATTCCAAATGATCCACTCTGCACTGCTCAGAAGTCCATGCTTATCCTTCCTTCAAGCGACTCTCTTCACACAAAGTGGGTGACCAGGTGCACTCCTGTTCAAAGCTGGGACCTCTGTCATGCAGCAGCAGGCTATTTTTGTTTATACTAGTGTACCAAGCTGGTCTATCTGTGAATCAGACCTTGGTTTTTTCTCTCCTTCATCACTGGTGGGTCCTCAGTTATAATATAGAACTATTTTGGCATATCCATATCTTGGGCTTTTGAATCTCTTCCTTAGAACTCTGGTAAGACTACTCTGGTACCTCCACCTCATTTAATGTGAGTCAGCCTTATCACTCCACACCAAGTTCTTAAGAGTCATCCCAGCAATGGAATAAGACTGGTTCTAAACCCCACAGGAAGTCCTCTGAGGGTCACTGGGAGCAAAAGTGAACTAAAACCAGGGAAGAGGCACAGAGACTGGTAAAGATGATTTGAAGAGAGCTGTGCAGCCACTAACCGTGTCTACTGTGAAGCCATCAGGGTGGATGACATGGAGAGAGGGTGAAGTGAGAAGAGCACAATATTTCAGACGGAGCCCTCCCTACAAAACCCCAAAACCCCAATAGTTAATGATTAATAGAGAAAATATTGCCTACAAATAAGACAGAAATCGAGTTGCAAAAGATGATGCCAGACAGTGTTTTAAGTAAAGGATTATTTCACTGAACTGGCAGATGCTGAGTCATTAAGTAAGCTGAAAGTTCAAATGCATTCACTGGATGTAGTATAATGGAGGTCAATGATGACCTTGGCAAGGGCAGTGTCAGTGGGATGGTGGGCCCAGGAGCCAGATTTAGAGTGAAGAGTGGGAGGAAAGTAAAGAAAACCAAATAAAGAAAGGGAACAGAAGAGGAAAGGGAAGAAATAAGATGATGGATTGAAAAGACTATCAGATTAAGGGAATATTTTATTCTATTCTCTGTTTTGATTTTAAGTTTGGAGAGACATGAATAATGCTAGTTTGAAGGAGGTCTGGGAGAGAGAGAGGGAGAGAGAAAGAGAGGGAGAGATAGAGAGAGATATTCATTGGTGCCTGATTCCTAAGGAGAAGACTCTAGGGAAAAAAGATTCTAAGTCCAGATGAAGGAATTGCTTTTGATGATAAGGAACAATCTCCATATTGCAACAGAAAGGTGGAGAGAATGATAGTTTTGGGATTTGATGGTGGGAAGTTGAGGCTATATAGTTCCAATCAGATGGTTGATTTTCCCCCAGTAGAAGACAGGGTCATTTGGTAAGAGTTCATGGGTTGGATAAAGTACGAGGATTGAGGATGGTGGACAGTGTCTGAAAGAAAGGACAGATGGTATACAGAGGTGGCAGATGGCAATGGCAATGAGGAAGATAGAGACTGTAAAGCTAGACTCAGCAGGTTCAGGATTTACAGAGGCTGGAAAAATATTGTCTGGAACATGAACCCACTTGCAGCCCTGAGATACTTGGGGAATTAGGAAATATGCCACTTCTATCAAAAGGGCTGTAACAGAAGTGGTGTTCCACATGGGAAGTTAGGGTTAATTATGAGCAGAAAGTGCAAGGAAGACAAGTTGTGGGAATGTAGAAGAATTGTTTATCATAGAGCTGGGGTTTCTGAAGAATAAAATGAAGATTTGGGGAGTTTGGGGAGGGTTGGGACAGGGATTAAGTCAGGAAGGAGAAAACATAGAACATTACACAAACCAGCAAAATATTCTATAATTTTTTTTTTCGGATCTTTCTCTCTCATTTTTCTTTTCAACCAACAAGGACACTATTTTTTTTTTTACTAGTTATCAGTATAAACTGTCCCCTATACAAAGAAATTCAATTGGAACAATTTGCAAAATTGAACTAAAATAAATCTTAACTGGAATTTAAGTTAACTGGTTGCTCTGGTCTAAACTGAGATATTGCTTTTAAGAATATATTCATGTTTGGGCATTAATAGTTCACCATTTTGCCATGATTATAATTAAATATTATTAACTTCTCTCTCCTTGACCTCACTGTGGCATGATTATTTTGCTGTAATTTTAAAAAGATCTACTTTTAACCTTTGGATGCAACACACGTAACTGTTCATCAAAGATCAACTGCAGATATTTTTGTCTTTCATATCTATCAAGAGGCCTAATTGTTATCATGAGTCTATTAAAAACTCTTTGGAGTCAGCAAGACATTTACACTTATAAGGAAGAGTAGATAAATTTGTATCTTTCAAAATAAGAGGATGTTAGCTGCTGAAAAAATTTCACTATTTTCAATTGCATACTTCATTGAACCTAAGAAGGTGCACTGGAAAATAAAGACTAAAAAGTAGATTGACCTGTAGTTGTTGAGGAAAGGGTGTGCTTAGGAACTGGACATTATTCTGTAAGTGATAGGGAGCCAGTAAACTCCTTTCTGTATGTGTAACTTTCACCATCAGAACTGAGCTTTAGTAAAATAGCTGCTATGTGGAAGTTGGAATGGAGAGAGAGAAATTGGAGGCAAGAAGGAAAGGAATAAGCTAGTTCAGTGGCTTAGGTGAGAAATAACATGAGTCTAATCTACACAAATGACCAGGAATAGAAACGTGGTGATGGAGTAAACTGGATAGATAATGCACACTTGATTGGAAATCGACTAAACTGCTTGATTTGTCAAATTATACTGGAAAGGTCATAATTCCTGACCTCATGTTTGTAAGCCAAAAAGTGTCGGAGACAGGTCTCAATCAATTTAGAAAGTTTATTTTGCCAAGGTTAACGACGTGTGCCCAGGAGGCAAGTTTGTGCCTTTCTCCAAAGATAATTTTAAGGGCTTCAGTGTTTAAAGGGAAAAGGCAAATATTGGGGAAAGAGAAATAAATTGTTAGAAGATGTGGGTAGATAAGAGACAAACAGTTGCACTCTTTTGAGTCTTTGATCAGCCTTTCACCAAATACACAATTTACATGTGAGAAGGAGATAGAGGAATAGTCACTTATGCCTTCATCTAGGTCAGTGAATCTGCATTTTACATCAGAGGAAGCAATCAGATATCCATTTGTCTCAGGTGAGCAGAAGGAGGACAAAGTTCTGTCCTTTGTCCCCCACCTGTGAAGATAAGCTATCAATTTACATTGTCAGGGTGAAATTCAACAGAACTGTTTTAGGGTAAAGATCTTGGAGCCCACAAGGAATTTTCTAGTGGACAAATTGTAGGGGATGTATGTAGCTTTTTTTTTTTTTTTTTTTTTATCTTTGTAGCTGTTTTATTTAGAAATAAAATAGGAGGCAGGTTTGCCTGACACAATTCCCAGCTTCACTTTTTTCCTTGACTTAGTGATTTTGGGGTCCCAAGATTTATTTTCCTTTCATATATTTTTCAGTATTCCACTCCAACTGCATTCTTCCCCATGTGCCTCCAAATATCTTTCTGAGCCATAAATAGTTAATATTAAAAGGAACAGCACATTTCCTGACATCCGTGACACTAGGGAAGAGGAATAGAACACAACTGCATAATTATCATTGCACAATCACAACTGGAACGGATTGTTTCAGATTGAAAATGGCTCTTGGTTTCCCCTGGTGACATTTTCAGACCTTCATTATAAGTGAAGAACCTTGGTAACCATGTCATACATTTTTCCGTGGTCTGAAACATATCCATTTAATGAGATGATGACCTTTATTTATCTACAAAATGTGAAACCATTAGCTGTTAACCAAACATACAGAGTAAGGTTGAGACAGTAATTTGGGACTTTGAATCTCAGAATTTAGATGTTTTTCTAAACAACACTTAGACAAGGTGAACAGAAATTTCCTCTTTTACTAGGGATTTTGATATAAAAACACATACATCATAACTCTGTACTTGAGTGTGTATAATAGATTGTATAACTGTTTACTAATATTCAGTGCCCCACCTGTAAGAAAAATTTGTATTTATCTGACCCTTAGGTTTGGCCATGTGACTTGTTATGGTCAAAGACATATAATGGCAGTGGCATGCATGTCCTTTTCAGGTGGAAGTTTAAGAACCAGTACACTTTTTGGCCATACTGTCTCTACACATTGCTTCAGCAATCGGTAATGTAGATTGTGTCCACTGTCTCAGGCTAGGTCTCTGCGTGAAGACAAAGTGACAGAAAACAGAACACTCAACTGGCACATGGGGGAAATGTATTATAAGCAAGAAATAAGCTTTGCTGCTTTAGGCCACAGAGATATAGGGTTGTTTGTTATCCCAGTGTAATTAAGCTGTCTCAGTTTGTTAAGGGTATATGTCTGCTGCACACCTGTATTACATATCTGGAGTCATTTTTACAAGAAAGAAACACTGAGGGGAAAGGTAGTGTGGGTGTAATGAGAAAAAACTGGTAGAAAACAGTCTTTAAATTGTCACTAGAAATTGGTGAAAAACACTCACTGTTCTTTTATGTTTAACTATATACTGCTATAAAAATGATCAAATATTTTGTTTTACGTGCTTAGGGATAGAGAAGAAGGTGGAGAAATTGGAAGTGCAAAATAATAAATGTAGAAAGAAATGGAAAGTTCTCCAGATTTTCTAAAAGGATCAAAGAAAAGTTAACTAACAGAAATGCCTCTAATTGCAGAGACCCAAATAACTGTTGGGTGGGTATTTTTGTGACTCCTTGTCTGGAATTAGCCTCTAGGTGTGTACCTCACCATACAATCACATCTTAGAGGACTATCCCAACACTTAGAATATTGGAGAGGTCAATCGGATCTGCCCATAGTGTGATGGCCAAAGACTGGCCGGAACTCAAGAAAGTTCATGAAGAGCCTTTCTCCAAGGTGCTTAAGACTTTATCATGTTTATACACGTCTTTTTGGTCAGAAAGAATTTGTTCTGTGTCTCTTGTTGTGTTCTTCAAAGTGAAATGCATAATGTGAATTAAAAAGTCTGATGAGAAAAAAGTCTGATGAGAGGATAAAATCAGGACCTTATTTAGTGTTACTTTGAAGAAAGCAAGCAGGAGTTAATTCACCTGACTCACGAAATTTGTCTATGTTTCATTGCTTTTTATATGTGTTTGTGGAAGGGGCTTCAAGAAATTGAACATAATGTAAATGACTAGCAATGTACCAGGCAACTGTTTCTAAGGGTTTCAGAGGGCTTTTTAAATTTTGTTGCTGGACAAACTTGGCATCCATGATTCAATGCCATAGGAGATGTGGTTTTAGCTTTTTCTCTATGTAGGAAGTATTTGTTTCCACCAACAGGGGTAACAACATTCCTTTTAACACAATTCTCAAAATAACATAAATCTGCATAAAGGAACCAACATCTTTGTAAGATGTGCTTAGGTTTTCTGGACAGGTATGCAGTTAATATGGTTTGGTTCTCTGTCCCCACCAAAATCTCATCTCAAACTATAATCCCCACTTGTCAGGGGAGGGACCTGGGGGGAGGTGATTGGATGATGGGAGGGGATTTTCTTCATGTTGTTCTCTTAAAAGTGAGTGAGTTCTTCCCTCCTTGCTCTCTCTCCTGCTGCCATGTAAGACGTGCTTGCTTCCCCTTAGCCTTCTGCCATGATTGTAAATATCCTGAGGCCTCCCCAGTCATGCAGAACTGTGAGCCAATTAAACCCCTTTTCCTTATAAATTACCCAGTCTTAGGTAGTTCTTTATAGCAGTGTGAAAATGGACTAATACAGCAGTCTTACATGAGCATGGTCAGGATTTGCTGACAATACCAGAAAGAGGCAAAAACTTACAAATACTGATTGATTAAAAAAAAAATCAATACTTGAAGACTTATTTTTGAACAAGCACATAAACAAAAACCAAGACTTAGTTTATTATTATCTATAAAAGCAGGTGAACAATAACCATACTGTTTAGATGAGGGATGTAGGAAAATGAGGAAACAAACCCAAATTTTATCTTCAGCTTAGCTAGGACAGCATTCCAGACTTGTGTATGTAATTTGCCTACTAATCACTTCCACTTAGATGTTTAAGTGGCACCCAAACTTATATGACCTAACTGCACTCTTGATCTTCCTCCTTCCTTATCCTGCTGTGATGGTTAACTTTATGTGTCAACTAGACTGGGTTGTAGAATGTCCAGATCACCGGTAAAACATTGTTTCTGGGTGTGTGCATGAGGGTGTCTTCAGAAGAGTTTAGAAGTTGAATCTGTAGACTGAGTAAAGAGAATCCACCCTCACCAATGTGAGTGTGCATCATCCAGTCTGTTGAGGGCCTGAACAGAACAAAAGGACAGATGAAGGATAAACTTACTCTTGTCTGGAACTGTGATTTTCATCTCCTTCTGCCCTTGGATAGCAGTGCTTCTGGCTCTCAGGCCTTTGACCTTTAGGACTTAACACTATTCTTCTCCTTCCCCTACCCAAGGCTTTCGGCCTCAGACTGAGTAACATTACCAACTTTCCTGGTTCTCCAGCTTGTAAACAGCACATTGTGAATCATCTCAATTTCCATAATTGCATGAGCCAATTCTCATAATAAATCCCCTCTTACCTCTCTCTCTATCTCTATCATCTGTATCTATATCTCCTATTGATTCTATTTCCCTGGAGAACCTTGACTAATACCTGCTTTTCATATAGTCTTCCACATCTCAGGATATTGAAACTTCATCCTTCCAGCTTCTCAGGCCAGAAACCTTGTAGTCATGTTTGATTCTCTTGTTTCTTTCATATTCCACATTCAATACATTGGTAAACTTGGTCAGCTTTATTTTAAATACATATCAAGAATCTGACCAATTACCACCACCTCCATTGTTATAACTAAACCATCACCAGTCTCCTGAACCAAGCAAGAGACCCTGCTTATTTTCCCCTTCCCAATCTTATCCTCCTAGTGATTCTTTTCCACAAAACAGCCAGCAGGATTGTTAAAAACTTTTAAAACATTATTTTAAAGTCTTTTTGTGTAAAATAAAGTACACATATACATAAAGAGTCAAATAATTTCACAAGGTTGTTACTACAATAGCAGTCCCTTACTGCCCTCACCATCCCATCCATGTAGC